ATGGTCTTAAAAGCCAAATGCTTCAAAGCATCATAAATGATTTGTGTAATTTGGATCCAATCAAATTCACCTTTTAATAAATGATTCTTTTTTTTTTTTTTTTTATAAGAACAAAAATTTGTTTCAATACGCCAGCCAATCAAAAAAAAAATTTTTAATGTTTTAATATCAAAGTTGCTGGAAACACAAATCCATATTTTATGATCACTTTCGTTTGTCAAGAGAATGTTCTCATACCACAATAATTCAATAGGCATAACAGAGAGATGTTGCCAAACAAAATAATTTGATATTAATTTGATTGATTTTATTTTTATATTAATAATTCAACTCAAGCTCAAATATTATTCAAAATTTTATTTAATTTGAGTTCAAGAAATCTCCAAAAATTATTTATTTGAGGTTGAAATATCAAATTATTTTATTTGAGCTTATGTTCGTCAAAATTTTGGCAGTATCCCGGCGTCTCTCCCGCGTAGGGGACATCTACAAGGATTCTAGGCCTGCCCACCACGCTAAGAAAAGCGTGTATGATAGGTGCCCTCTTTTGAGGACACCACGGTCGTGTAAAGTCTTTATCCCCACCAAGCTAAGAAAAGCATGTATGGGTCTTCTAGCGGTACCTGTTGCAGGAGAAAAAGCAGTTGTTTCCTCGCAAGCAGGTACTTATGGGTATCCCAACTTGATCGTATGCATCGCACCAGGTTCCCTCCTACCACGCTAAGAAAAGCGTGTATAGGTGGTTAGTTGGTCCGCCACAACCATCGAGAACGGGATTTGAGATTTTAGAGTGGCGAACAATATACCTTGACAAGCGAGCAAGAAGACGATGACGACAGAGATTTGCAGGGAAGCTAAATAAGATTTTTTTTTTTTTTGTTATATTTATTTTCTGATTTTGTTTTATATAGATATATATTTATATACTTATACAGAGAGAGGAAAACAAAGAGTAAAAAGAGAAACAGTTACTGTTTGGTGAGGATTGAATGGAGAAAAACGTGGAGTTGAGTACAGGAGATAGAGTGGATATGAGGAGTTATGTGGGGTTGGTTACGGCAAGAGGAACAGAGGGGTGGCTTGCTTGAGCTGGGACGTGAGAAAGCTTGCTTAGTGGAGAGGAACCAGAGTGGTTGTTATGATTTGAAGTTTATAAAATCAAGGAAGATGTGGCTCTTTGCATGTCATTTGATCCAACAGGTGGATTGCAATGTGTGATGAGAATATGAATTATGCAGGAAACGTGTTGAGTTGTAGATACAAAGCAAGACATGTGTTAAGGGAAGAGATATGTGAGAGCATGAGTTGGTCAGGTGGTGGAATGAAATAAGAAAATATAATTAAATATGGATATGCGTTGCTTTAGATAATAGATATCAGAAGAGGCATTTTTTTTATAATCAAATATAGAAATATAATATCATAGTGTTATGAAGAGATTTATGTAAGAATAAAATAAAATATTATTTTATAAAATAATAGATGTCCATAACGTGATTTAAAAGATTTCATAGTGGAATTTGGACATATGCATAAAAAAAATGATATTCGATTACTATCTTTATATATTAAATAATATTTATAATAACATATAATATGGTTTACAAACTTAAGTATGGAATTTATACAAGATAAGGATTATTATTATTATTTTTAACGGTTAGCAGCAATTGAATATAATAATTAATATTTACAAAATGTATTTAATATATGACTTTATACATATAATATCAACCTTTGCTAAATTTTTTTGTTATTATGCATTTGATTTTACATGTCGTCGTCGCCTCAAAAGTCGTCTAATTTTACATTTTCAATTTATGTGTCGTCGCCTCGCAACTCAAGCCAAATTTTATATTTTCGCACGCTGAATTTTATATTTTTTTTTTCGTGCAAAGATTTAGACAATATTATTGTCAATTTTGAGTATTTCCAACGTTTCGAACATAACGGAGAAATTCATTTTGCAAACGGACGACGTTTGGGCAACATCGAGTATGTTCGTAGTCCGTCGATTTTGATCACTTTCGTTCAATTTGAGTGCGAGGGATCCCTCTTTGATTAGATTAGATGTTCTAAATGTATCAAGATTATCCATTTTGTAATCGAACAAAGCTTTAATCATTTCATTATGATCGAGGCACTATGATTTTCATTCTAAACGATGTCTTATTTACTAAAAATAACAGATCATCGCCTCTGTTACTTGCTTTGACCGTGCTACCTATGTAGAGGTCAACACAAAACACTAGGAAAACTTGATAATAGAAGTAAAGTGAAAGAAAATAAGAAAGATGCAATGGATTTTCAATTCAAGAGGAAGATTCGGCTCTCCTAATCTCTAGCCGACGGCTAGAGCCGAAAACACCTAAGAGAAAACTCAAAAATAGAAAAACATCACATAACCCTAACCCTTGCCCTCTTATTTAAAAAATATAAATAAAAACATAATTACTAAACAGCCCTTCCTAGACTACTTTCCCTCCTGAACCGCCCACTCCATTTTGAAATTTCCATAAGGCATGGGCCCCACAAGGGGCCGGCAGCTCCTGTGGTCTGCCTGGAATAACTAGAGTTGGCCTTGGTTTTGGGCCGACTGGACCTGTCTATCAGAATCTTAGCAATATTCACAATTGAACAATCACTCTTTGTGAGCTGAAATTATTCTTGAATGCGTCGCCATCACCAAATAGTTGCGGAGGGTAGATGAATTTACTTTAAATTATTAGGTGATTAATTTCTTTTGAACATTTAAATTTATTATATATATATTGAATTTTAACATTTTGATAGGATTTGAGAATTGATCCCTCTGATTGAAATTTACTACTAACATTGGCACATCGAGGCAGCATAAAACATCACTTTAAATATTAGTATTTTGTTGAGGTTTGGAGGCCGCTAAAAGGCAGACTCATCTTCGATTGAGATCAACTTTAAACACGACCATCTCGATGAGTTTAAATAATTCACATTTGGTTATTTGAACATTATCAACTTTGCCAGTTGTTGATAAATGATCATAGTGCACATGGCATTTTGATGAAACAGACCCCCCTAGTTGATACTCTCTTTGAACACGCCATCATTAGGGATTTAAATAATTCATATTTGAACATCGTCAATACTATTTTCTGACTAATAGAGGATCAAAATCGATTTGGTAATAGAGTCCCTTCCAGTTGAGATTTACTTTAAATACGATCAACATCAAGGGTAAGAGTATTTTGATGCTTCGAACGAGTCAGTGTAATCTGTTTCACGAACGAACAATACTTGAGCGACTTGGATCGGGGTCAAGGCATTTTGAAACTGGTTCGTGCAATGTCACATTAGTTGGGCGTCGTTCTCATCGTGCTTGATCAAATTGGTCACGAGATACATGCAAAGGTTAACATATAATTCAAAATGTAAAACTAGGGTTGTCAAAATAGATTTTCGGATAGGGTTCAAGTAAAACCCAAAATTGACCCGCTCATAACTCGTCCGACCCATTTGTTGAAATGGGTTAAACATCTAGACCCGAACCTAACCTGGCACCAACCTGACTGGCCCGCTAACATGCAAGTGCGAGAAGGAAAGCAATGGGCGAGGCTACGAGCGCGATGGACTAGGGCCGCAACTTGCGAAGCGAAATGGATCGAGCAGGTTCAGGTCAAACGAGTTGATTTTGGGTTCGTGAGTTAAAGTGAACCTAACCCGATATGTCGATCGGGTCGAAAACTCAAACCCAAACCTGCCCCGTTTGTTAAACGGGTCGACCTGAACCTAGATTTTTCGGGCCGGGTCCAAGTCGGATTTTATGGTCGTGTCATATATTGACACCCCTATGCAAAACTATCAAGAAATAGCATAAATGTATGAGTTCCAATAGATTAGAAAGAAACTCAAAATAAAGCAAATGAATCATCAATTTGAAATGAGCAAAATCTCAAAAAAAAGCTGTCATCGCTAAAAATTTTATATTATAATGTGAATGTGAACTTTGGTTCCATGAAAAGAAGCATCGAACCAACATACTGCCATAAGTGTAAGAGACGATGCCATTAGAAAACCCATCATGCGGGAATTTTTTAGCAAAATCAATACACACATAAAATAATAGGGAAGAGCTTGATAACAAAATCATACTCATGAGGGTATGAATTGCCAAGAAGACTAAACTCACAGGAAGCTAGTAGACAAAGAAAAAATTATGACTTTTCTTTCGTCAGCCACTCCAGTTTTGGAAACTAATAGAGGTAACAAAATATTTTAAGCTCTAGAACTTTGCTCTTCAGTTTCTTCCAGAAACTTCCAAAATTATCTGCCACTTCAAGCTTTTTTTCAATAGGGATGGTATGTATATCTTCTTTTTCTTCTTCTTTAAGTGTGAGGTACCCTTTCTTTTTAACATTTTTTAGCGTGAGGGTGGTTGGAGAGTGTTGTTGTTGAAGCGTTCAGATTCATGTTAAGGTTTGCAAAGGAATTGAGCATAGCACATTGCGGAAGTTTTCGGAATAAAAATTATGAGGTGCTTTCTTTCTAAAAGAGGAAACTTACGGGAAATAAGGGAGGCCAGTTTCCAGAAATTCCCATTATTTATGTTTCAATTTAAAACTTTTCTTTTTGAGGTGTCCCTGTTTGTGAGGTCTCTTCTTTTTAGCCTTTGTAATAGAGAGGAAGGCTTCATGTTGTGGACAAACATATAACAAATAACACAACCAAAAGGCATTGATCTCAATAGAGAAGCATGTAGATTCAAGTCAGATTGTATTCCTTGCTATGTATCATATAAAGGACTGCATATTTTCCACCTCGTAATAGAAAAAATACATTAGGTGTATGCATGCGTTAAAAATATTGCATATCATTACTAAAATTGTAGCATGAACGTGTGGATAGATAACTAAGACCATTTTAAAGGAAAAATTTTGATTGCATGAGATGTACAAGTTTTGATTCATTCTAAAGAAAGGACTAGCAACAGTTAAAAGAATTCATTGTCACTCAAAGCATCAAAACTTTCGAAATTTTCATTGTGAAGCAAAAACGTAGGCAGACTTATGCAGAACGTAAACAAGCAGAGAGAACAGAATAAGTACCTGATAGCTTCCCACATACAATAGTAGTGCAATTACAGCTACTACAGGTAAATCCTTCAATATTGTGTAATACAATGATAACAGGAACAGTGAGAATGCCTGAAAGATCACAGACGTATTTCAAGCCTTAGAATGATAAAATACGTATAACATTAGTGAATGTAATACAGTGTGTGCCAACTGTATAGTTTACAATTACATGCTTTGTTTGGACACAAGTAATGAAAATTAAAAGTCCTAACCAGTCTTCATAAAGAATGCAGCAATTGCACTTTAACCAAGCATAAGAAAATAAATAAGCATATCATTAAAAAATATTTGATGATTATCATAACAAATTCATATTGCACAAGCTTAAGACAAAGAATCAATCAAAAGTGTGACACAAATTTGGACCAATAACATCAGCCTGTAATACAGAATCATGACTAAAATGACTTAGAACCAATTATATGGCATTCCTCAAGAAAATCACTACACAAATGTTTCTCTATACGTTTCCAAATAAAGTTTTTATGTTTCTGCTCAGAATTAAGAGCAAGCAGTTCATAATAGAAAATGATAGGCTTATAACAGGTAAGAAATCAATTAGATAATTGTAGTCAATAAAGTCAGTACTAGTGCAGAAAAGACAATGACAATATACCAGGTGAAATAATCTTGAATCCGTAACCAACAGATTTCCATCTACAACAACCCAACAATACATAGAAAACTTTTCAACCACAGCGATTCAACAATACAAGATCAACATTTTCATTTATAACAATCTAGCAATCTGTGGAGAGCATCATTCTATTTACAATGATATATCAATCTATGGGCAACAACATTCCATTCTAATGTGTAGTTAATTCTATATTCCATACTTAAATTTTAGTTTTAATATTTATATCTTTCATTAATAGTTATTTTTCTACCAATTTATTTATAGCTTCTCAACTTTATTTTTAATACAAAACAAGGGAATGAAATTTAGTTAACAATTTTTCATTTTTCTACTCTCCTTGCTTCACATTCTAATTTTCAAGATATATCAGAGCCATTAAAGTTCTACTCCCTGTGAGGCTGACGAGTCCTTTAATATGGAGTATTTTCTCCAAACTAATGGATCATTCACCAACACTGAATGCCAGTCTTCGTCCAATAAGAGTAGCAAAACATATGTAAAAGATCCTCCCGAAAATAGGAATAATAGCATTTGCCATGAAGAAGCTAGCAATTCCAACACTAAAAATTAATATGAAAAGCTCACGATGAAAAACTAAAAATTTCAATAAAAACAGCTATAAAGATAAATCACAATAGCTCTCTCCTTCCTCTTGCAATCATCTACATAACAAAATGAAAACAACCAACTACTCTCCCAATAAAAGCTTTTCTAGAACATCACCCAAATAATCTCGGTTGCTCCAAAAGATAAATTTTTAGATGCATGATTGCAAACAAGAAGAAAACTACTATTTGGATCGTAAACTCAAACTGACAGATGATATAAGATGAGACAAAACTTCCATAATTACAGCCTTGCCTTGAAAATTATAATGCCTGAATTGCATAAGGATCACAATTTTGTTGAAACAGTTTTGTCATTCTCTTTAAATATCAGACATCTGACTTTGTGCTTATAGTGTCTAACCTAAATTGTTACTATTAATCAGTAAACTCACTTGAGAAAAAAATTATATAGCAAATTTCTCATATAATATTTATCACTTCCAGGACTTGAACTCAACGAGAGTGATTGGAAATGCAAAGGTATGTTAAATAATGAGCCTTAAAAAAAACGATCTCTAAACAAGGCACGGGCTCAAACAACAACCCCTATATCCAATAAAACCCTCACTTCAAATTTCAAACACACTTCAAATAATAAATATAATGTCTAGCTTTGACATTATTGCTAAGATATCCAACTTTACTTACCTTGAAAAATTAATTACTGGTGTATTCACCAATAAAATTCAAAAGAAATTCCGTGTAGAATTTCTCATTTGGTTAAATAATACACTTGTAGTTTATATCCATCAAACCTACAAACTTTCCAAGCTTATGCTTTAGTTCAAAGTAAAACTTCCCCGGAAGAGAGGAGGCCAGGGTGCGAATTTTCAGAGCCCACAAATAGTGCTACTCCTATATCCCCTCTCATATAATTTTTTTCTTTATTTATCACTTCTATTTCACTACCCATCCATCTTAACTTAAAATTTTTAGTCACGCACAACTTACCTGTAACTATTTTATTGCCAAACTAAAGGATCCTAAAACATTGACAATGTAAACACAATTTCATAAAATTTACCATTAAGATTATGAGATTCCCTCATAGCATTGTACCTGTAATACACAACTTCATTAACCATCCAGCCTTAACCTTTTACTCCTCATACATTTATCCATTATAATCACCCAACCTTGAGTATAAAAATTATATCCTTAATATATTCTTTATTTTGTACAATAAATTTAATGTTCTCAAATCGATCACCCCTCAGCATTGCTTAATATTCTAGCAATATTAACTCGTAAATATCACTTTAACATCAACTAAATGCAGATCATAAGCCCCAAAATATGTTTCCATTGTTTAAATGTTGGCATAAATCAATATCATGAGCCGTTTAACAAGATTATGGCAGCGTCTTAAAGATTCCTAGCACATTTTAATGCTAGTATAAAGGACAACTTCCTTTTATTCTCTATGTGATTGTGTGTAAACAATTTTTTTCATGAATGAAATTCTCTTTCTATATATGTGAAGCCCTCCCTTCCAAGAGGAAGCTGGAGCAGAACAGGTGGAATTGCATATAACAAATTAAGTTCTACTTTTCCCTTGTTCTTATATTTTTGCTCATTTTGTTCAAAGTTCTTGAGGAGATTCTTTGTGAATTTCTTTAGAGTTTGGTAAAATTTAGGTTCTCCTTTTCTCCTGCTTTACATTTCTGCTCATTTTTTTTTAAAGTTCTTTAGGAGATTCTTTGTGAATTCCTTTAGAGTTTGGTAAGTGATTGTTGATACTTGATGGTCAACGTAGCCAGAGTAAAGGTTTCAAGTCGCTCAAATGGTTTTTACACATTAAGTTTCAGGATATCTTCACCTTTCTTCTCATATTCTTTGACTCCTTTGTTTGCATCAATGCTTATCTTGGCTTATAGCTAACTCAGCAAGTATGTTGCATGTTAGATTCAGAGTTTGCATATATCACATAGAAAATCCTATAAAAATTGCTGAATATACTAAGCATTAGTTTCAATATCCTGCATTTATTTACTCTAGGGTCTCTATTTCTTGTGTCATTAGATTTCCACATATCCTGCATCACCCAGCCTCCACCAAGAGCTGCAGCCCACTACAAATGTTTGCCAATTCATTTGCATGTATAGCATTATACACGTATATAAACTACTTCAAATATAAAAGGCAATTTCCCAATTTAGAGTGCTACTTACATCATAATTTGCACTTCAAACCAATAAAGGACTAGCACTTGCTTTGGAAATTGTGCATTGAACATATTGAATGTGACCCACCTAAATGCTAAAATTATATGGAATTCATAAATGAAAAATATTCCACTTTTTTTTTTTGAATGATAGAAACAAATCACAAATTTTAAAAGTGGGTGCAAAGCCGATTATAGATTTTTATAGAAGTCTCTATAGGGAGAAAACCCTTAATGAAATAGCCAAATAGAATGCATAGTTGATATTTTTTTTTTTCAAGAAGGGAACAACAATGTCAGGAGTATAGATAAAACCCATGATCACATGGCTAGAAGCTGAGATATGAACCATCAAGTTAATGCCTAATTCAATATTCTACATTTGATAAAGTACATGTTGCCTACTAGGTCAATGAGAATCGTTGGATATTAAAAGAAGTTGCTTAATAAAATTATGGGAAAATGATCCTTCAACTTTTTGTGAGGGCCCAATTTGGCCCCTCAACTCTTTTGAGGGGATGGATAATTTTGATCCTAACATCCAATGTTGGAGTTAATGATATTAAATGTAAGAGTATTTTGGTGATTTCTAATTAAAAATTTATTAAATGCAATTTTCAAATAGTTATAACTTTTCTAAAAAAAATTATTAAATATTTGAAATTAAGACTTAAATTACTATTATTTTTTTTAATTAAAGAAACATCTAATAATTTTTTTTTAGAAAATTTATAATTACTTGCAAAATATATTTAATAAATTTTTAATTTAAAAAATGACCAAAATATCCTTATATTTAACACCATTAACTCCAACATTGGATGTCAACAAAGTCTCATTCTAAAAAGTTTGAGAGACCAAATTGATCACTCAAAAGAGTTGGGTACCAGTTTGGTCCATCACAGAGTTGAGGGGTCATTTTGATCCTTTTCTTATAAAAGTATTCATTTGAATGTATCATAGGAACAAGCATAGAAAGCAACAAATATGATTTTTTTATGAATGCATAAACAATTAAAAGATTAAAACTTGCAGCAACATGCTAATAGCATTACTACAGAAATTATAAGCGATAAGATCAAATCAAATAAAAATCTAACAACAAATTTGATAAAGAATATTGCAGAAAAAAGTATTCAGCAGCTAGAATTTGGTTTTGTATTGTTGATATGGTGGTAGCAAGTGTAATTCACAGGAATAATAAGCCTTATCATGCATAGTTGAATTAAGCTCCAACAATAAATTCTGCTCTAAACAAGAGTTACATCACACAACATGCAAAATGACCATTATCCTTTCACATTACCTTCCCATTTTGAAGAAGCGGGAAATAAAAGTACCCGAACTAAATCTATGCAAACAGTTAGTTATTGATTCACCAATTATCATCAACAAACGGTTAAAGAACAGACAACATAGCAACTCTAAAAGCTTTCTAATGGTTTCACAGATGTTCTCGTCTGAGATTGTGAATGGTGTTAAAGAAAATTTATTAAAGAAAGAAACTTAAAATTCTCGTCTGAGATTGTGAATGGTGGAAAAGACAATTTATTAAAGAAAGAAACTTACAATTCCGCTAACACCTCCAATTAATAGTGGCCTCCGGCCAAGCCTGTCCACCGCAAGAATAGCAACTCCAGTTGCAAGCAACTATAAATCAGAGTTAAGAATTAGTCATCTATAACGAATCTAGGCAATGCTCATTATGAATCATATCCCAAAGAGCAGAAACAATAAAACCTAATTCATTCGTCCATGATCTGGCCAAGTTTCTTTATTATGAACACGCAAAAATACAGTAGATTTTAGAATATCCCAATAAAAGTTTCAAAAAATATAAAACTTTAAAATTTTAAACATTCAATAAATATAACAATTCAATTTTATATATATATATTGACATGAATATAAGTACAATAAAATTTTATTATACACTTGATAATGCAAATATTCATATTATAGAAAATAAATCACTATAACATTACATCACAAATAGATATTGACAACTTTTAGTGAAATAAGTGTACATTAAAAAAAATAATTAAATATAACAAATTCAAACAGTACATAATTAACAATCATAAATAAAATTCTTAATGCAATTACAAGACATGGCAAGTATCATAACAAATGCCAATAAAGATATCATCACCTAGCTCAAATGAAATTCTTGAAAATGTTTTCAGTATGACTTCTTGGGAAGAAATTACAAGACATTACAGAAAGGGAAATAATGATTGGCTACTCTAAAATCTGACAAACTATGCTTATCTAAAGGACGGACTTTGATATCTGGATAATCATAAGATACAAAACAAGCTTTGTAATTAGTATAGCATTAGATTGGACAATTACTTCTCAATAATAATAAGAAGAAACGACTTAGCAGTAGTTGTTTCTCATATAACACAAATACCAAATCATATTTATAGGCAGATTCGGTTTGAAATGAATAGATAGGTCTTAAACCAAATAACTGAAAACTAAGTACTTTAAATATAAGGCGTGAAGGCAACCAAAAAGACGAAGAGTTCCCCAATGAGATCTGCAGCCGCTTGAACAGCTTTCTCTTCATTTAAAGGCCGGACCTCAACATTGGTTGCATGACCATAGATTCGCCTTTGGATATTAGTGGTGATTCGATGGTTTGCCTGGTTACAGTACCAGCACAATAAGAAACTAATTAATGCAACATTCAGTGATAACAAAACATGTCAAACATATGACAATCGGAAAGGACAAAGGGAAGGTTTTAAAAGAAATTAATCAAAAGAAAAGAAATGTCAGAAAGCCTATGTAACATGATTTTTGAAAGTGAATTGAACTAGAGCTTTACAAATGAGTATGATAATGTTAGAATTAATTCATTCGTTGGGCCGGCACTTTGTGCATACTAGTAAGCTCATAAATGATTCAATTAGGATTGACCTTGTTAGTGAGATGAAGCCACTCCAAATTGTAATGGGATTAGACGCTAATGCATCTAAGCCTTAGTTCGCTAATGCATCTTCACTATGTCCTGCCTGATAACACCTTTTATTTAAGTAATAAAATGCACCATGAAAGTTCCTATCCCATACGTGCACTACCTCCACTTCACTGTGATAGCAACAGAGGCTTTACTTCACTGAACTGGAACAGAACAAAATTACCAAATGAAGAATCAGAATGTAACTGAAATATCTGAGTTCAACTCCGTTAAGATCTCCTACTTGAACAACTCTGAACGTGACTGCAATTTTAAAGATGCAAAATTTCCATCGATATCTTGGATCTATTGTTCAGAGTGATGGTGAAATAGATGGGGATATTATCAGCAAAATTTAAGTTGGATGATTGAAGTGGAGGAATACATCGGTCTTGTTGTGTGATAGAAAAGTACCCCTCAAACTTAAGGGAAAATTATATCAGATGGTGGTGAGGCTTGCAATGCTTTATGGTGCCAAATGTTGGCCATTAAAAGAGAAGCATAATACTAAGTTAAGTGTGGCAGAGATGAGGATGCTCAGGTGGATGAGTGGCTTTACCCTTAGAGATAGGATACGAAATGAGCATATATGTGAAAAGGTTGGAGTAGCCCAAGAGAAGATAAAATTTAGGAGGGCTCCAGTAGAAGATAAGATTAGAGAGAGACGCCTTAGATGGTTTGGTCACATAAAACAACGGCCTTCCGATGACCCAGTTAAGAGAGTAGAGGTATTAGATTTGACTTATGTTAAGAAAAGTAGAGTCAGACCTAAAAAGACTTGGTTAGAAAATATTAGGAATGACCTTTTTTTATTAGATTTAAATGAGAATTTGACTTTTAATAAGACACAATGGAAGAAAATGATTCATGTAGCCGACCCCACGTAGTGGGATAAAGGCTTGATACTGTTGTTGTTGTTGTTGAAATTTGAAAAAATTTTAATAGATAATTTTTATAACTTTAAATTTTGAAAAACTTTAAAAATTTAATAGGCGATCTAAATAATATTTTATAACTTTAAAATATAACTCTCTCCCATTTTTCTCTCTCTCTTCCACTTTCTCTTTCTTGCCGATAAGACAACAACAAAAAAAATTCACATAAAACGCAGTAGAGGAATAGGTTAAAATGGAAAACACAATTTTTTTTTTTTTTTGCATTTTCAAAGAAAATGAAAGCATACAGTGCATTTTTTATCATTTTTAAATTTAATTTATATAACGTTCCTTCCCCTAAATCTTACGTGAAACATAATACTTTTAAAAATTTGTCCCTTTCTTATTATAGGCTAGATCTAATACATCTACTCTCCTAACATGATCATCGAAAGGTCAAAATTTTGTGACCAAACCATCATCTAAGGCAAAAAAATATATCATTAAAGAAATGTTTAATATATATTTTTTAAATTACAATTACTTCAAAAATATATTTAATAAATAGTTTAATTAAAAAATGACCAAAATACTTTTACATTTAACATCATTAACTCCAACATTAGATCTTAGGACCAAAAAGGTCTCATTTTAAAGAGTTGAGGGACCAAATTAGTCCCTCAAAAGAGTTGGAGACCATTTTGGTCCCTCACAAATAGTTGAGGGAACATTTTAATCCTTTTCTCATATATGAAGAGTACAATATTAAAACTATCATTTTCAAGGGTATGAATCATATGTATTGTGAAAGGCTGTGTGATACCCCATAATATATTAATGAACTTCATAATATCATGACAACAATAATGATATTTATGTGAATAATAGAATGCTTGAAATTTTTTCATGAGGATAACTACTAGAAAAATCAATACATAATCATAACTAAATGTATCATAATATGAATGCTTAATGAAGGTAATAGTGGTCTTATCAAGATAATTCCTAAAGAGAAAAGCACAAATATTTCGACCATGGGTGGCAAAATGGCTCATGTACAATAGTTGGTAATTTAAGTTGTTGGCTTCCGAAGCAACATGAAGTGTATGTCAACAGAATGAACCAAAGTGCTCAATATAAAAGTAATGACGAATTGAGTGACAAGGGCATAAAATTAAAGATTGCTCAATTCTGATGTGAAATGAAAGAGATAAAAGTTAAACTACTGAAAGGTGTCAAAAGGGACAAGGTTTATCTTAAAGCTAGGCTTTGGTGAACTTGCGTTATGTTCAGATGCATATGAATTGGGTTAAGTTAGGTTAAGAGGTCAATTGGGAGAATGAATTCACTGGGGAAGTGAAAATTTAACCATTGTGGCTTGTATGCATGGGAATTAGAAATTAGTATTAAAATGGGAAAGTTTTAAATGGATTCCTTTAAGCCCAATGTTCAAGGAGATCAAGAATTTCAAGCAAAAGAAGAATGATAGGAATCAAAACCAACCATGAATTCTCACTTGGGCGCTACAAACATAAGAGAATGGATAGGATGCAAGAAAATTAGGATGCAAGAGGTAAGCAGCTTCTTAAAAGAGAAAGTGATGATAATAAAAATTCTTAACTCACATGGTACAATTACAATGAATTAATTTGACTCGAATACCAACTAATGAGGATGGTACTTTTGGCTGAATTGATACAATAAAAGAGGAAAATATTTGAAACACTAAAAAGACAAAAAGGAGTCGAAGAACTGGACAAAGAGATAGGGCTGAAAAAGAACGATAGCATGAAGTGCTCATCCACCAGTTTAAGGAAAAAATAATACCTTAAAAAGATTAAATTCACAATCAATTAATTTATCTCCTAAAGTATACACTATTTACAAAAAATGTTTACCAATCATCAAATAACAAAAGAAAAGTAATCTAAGTATGATCAAAACAAATCAATTATAAATATTTATATTTTATGAAAGAATTCATAAACAAAGAAAATTTTGAATGCAGCTTTATTACACATCCTAACAAAATAATTGCTGAAATGTCTAAATATAGCAGTCTACATAAGGCAATTGATTGTGTCACCTCATGACGAATCTAGCAGCAATACACAATTATCAGAGAAACTTATGTGTATGGTAATGAATTTGATCATAGTACAAAAATATGTGGAGTAACTTATTTCTTCATCTCAAAGTGTTTGTGAACAATAACAGTAACATAAGACATCTTAGTCACAGAAACACCAATAAAACTTTGTGAGATCTCATATTTAGGCTCAATAATTGCCTTGAGCATAGCCTTAGATTTATGGACAGTAAGAGGCTCGAACAATAACTAATAATGATCATCATCAAGCTCATAGCAAAGCTTCGATACCAATAATCTTACCAAGCCATTTCATGAAGTGTAGAAAAAATCACGTATAATTAAGTAAATTAGGCACTAAAATAAATATGAAGAGATGATTTATGATCCCTTTTGTATTGATTATGATTTGATGACATACCTAATCAAATTGTAATATGACAGTGACTTAATATGTTGCTGCAAAGTATTATTTCTGGGACTTATTATCATCATAATAATCGTGTTATAGTGATTACAATAGTTTCTGTCTAAATAAAAGGTCCATAGTATTATAGCTATCAATAGCATGTCCAGTTTTAGGAACATAAAATACGTCCATCATGGAATTATTTGATTGCTATGAAAGAATGTGTAGTTAGCTTTAGGGTTATGACTTTGTATTGTAAATTGTGATATGAATGAAGTGGGTAGAGGAACAGATAGTAGTTGGCAGTACAAACTTAGATGATTCACATTTTCAAGATGTGTGAAAAATAGTATTTTTAATATTGCACCATCATATTTTTGTTAAAAAATTTATATATCTCATTAAACTCGAGCAGTATATTATAGAGTGAGATGAATGGTTTTCATTTGCATTTGAATACCAGGCAAAATTTGAATGGAACAAAAAAAAGTTATCCACCCTTTCAAGGGGATAGACGTCTAGCTCTCAAAAAACAAAATGCATATGCAAGTATTGTTCATGTAAATGCATATATGCAAAGGCAGCGTATAAAACAATCAAACATCCAATTGATAAACTAGATACTACAACTGAGATAACTGATTTCAATCAGCTCATAGCTGCAAAACACAGAGCTGAAGAGAGATATACCTTCAGTATACCAAGAAGAACTGAAACACGGGTGGCATCTGAGGCTGCTGAAAACCCTGCGCTCTGTCCCCAGAGAACGAAACGGTCAAACCATAAGCGCTAGAAATAATTAACTCAGAATCCATCTAAATAATTAAAAACAAGATCACCTGAAGGATTTTTGCAGCATAATATAAAACACTTGGTTGCCCTGTGACCTAAAATCAGGGAATAAACAACGGTTTTAGCTTCACTGAATAATTTAATAACATCAGAACAGGGACAAATATAGGTCATAAGCAACGCAGTAAAACAGTGAAAATACCTGCTGAAAAAAGAGCAATCCTACACCGATAATAAGAGCTTTCAAACTTTTTCCTTGAAAGATTTCATAAAATGTTGCTTGCTTGTGTTGATCATCAAGAGAAAGCTCATGCAGAATGGCATCAATTTCCTCTGAAGCTGTGTCATCAATGGCTTGACCCCTTAGTCGGCACAAACAAGAAATAGCAGTTGTTCTTACATCTGAAATGTTTACTTTTCCCTGTACGGTGCACAATAACAGCCAACGAGGTGAAGGTGGTAACCACCACATTCCAACACCCATAACTAGACAAACAGGAGCACCAATAGCATAGATGTAACGCCATCCCGCAACAATATCAACAAAGAGACTACTGGATATGTAGCCACACTGCACGGAAGGCAACACCTATGAGTTTTCAGAAGCAGAAAAAAAATTGATATTCACTTTCTTGGGATTCAAGACTTACAAGCATTCCAATAACTATGAAAAATTCCTTTAAAGATATCAATGTGCCACGTATTTGGCTTGGGGATGTCTCCGCAATGTACATTGGAGCAGCATGCATGGCCTAATGATCAAAAAACCATGACCATGGACAAATTACATAAAAGGATGTACCAAATACATTAGCTAATCGCATTATGGAAAATATTTGCAAAAGATTCATAAATTTCACATCCAATACATTTTAGAAAATAATATTCCTTGAAAATCAATAGGAACACTAATTATCTCATGTCCTAATCCTAGACAAAACTCTCTTAAATATTCCTAACACGCAATAACACAAATAGAACATTCTCTAACCGCATAAACATAATTTAGGAAACCTTCCTAACAATTAAAACTTTCTCAAACACAATAAACATAATTAGGAAACCTTCCTAAACAGCTCCCCTTGATTTCTCCTCCTTTCATAATGCATGATAGCTCTTCTAGGCCCCAAAAGGCTGGCCAAACCCTCCCCTTGGCTCCCTTCCTAATTTCACCCAGCCCCTCCTGCCGTAACAGTTTCCCACCTCAAGTGAACAATACATTAGTAAGGACAGTATTGGTGATCACTTTCAATGGCTACTGATCCATGGAGGATGGCCTGCAAACCACTATCTCGGTTAGGCTTTGAGTTGGATATTGGAATCGTTAAAACGAGTGGAACTAAGAGCCAGAAGTTAAGAATTGACTTGCCTAGCTGTGCTGCTTAGCTAGAGAAGAGTGTGAAAAATGGCAGTATAAGAGATCATAATATAACTGAAGGCAATAAGTCACGGCAGTTGTAATTTTGCGTAACTGAGTATGGAAGTATGGGCGCTCATCTATAAATATTTAATGTGCCCCTATACCCTTGGGATTTGCTATTATTGTAGGCTGATTGTAAGTTTGCATCAAAAGCAGACATCCACGTAAGTTAACTCTTGATTTTCTCTAAATAATGTAAGAGTTTTTGAGCTCCAAACAGCTAATAATGATACCATGGAAAGATTTTAGCTGCCAAACTATAATGAGGCTATGCGTGCCAACAGAACTTAAATCAAGGTAACTGAAGATATGCTGAAGAGATCCCTGGCCGAACTATCTAACTGTCCTAGTGATTAAATGACGACAATCAGTCTTGGATCCACTAGGGTTGTAAATGATCCAAATGATCCAAGCTCGAACTGGTCTGACCCCAACTTATAATTGACTCAAATTTATTTATTTCAAACATGATTTGGACCTAGTTATAGGACAGTTCAATCCACTCTCAATGCCAGCATGGTTAGGCATGATAATTTAAATCAAACGTTTATTCTATTTAATATGAAATTTCTATTCAGATACTTCTCATTAATGTAAACATACACGCATTCAATCTTGATAGAAACATGCATACATGCATTTATAGATAGATGCAAGTGTCCGAACACATGTACTTTAGCACATACATGCATCAATGCAAACATATTTTTTTATTGGATCTCAAGCTAACTCAATTAAAACAAAGCCCGACTCAATCCATATTCAATCAAAGGGTACAATTCACATTCTTCTCTTGGTTTAGAACCAAGTAAGAAAACCAATCTGATTTTTTGAGCAATCTTTGAGAAGGGGTAGATCCTAGGTAATATAGATTAAAAATTGTCTAAAAGGATTTACAAACAATATATTTTAAAACCAAATGCAGCATTTAAAATGAAAAGTGAGAATTCATGATGACAAGTTCAACCAGTCGGGCATCTGCTAAATATAGTTCTTTCCTACAAGTGGAAAATAACAGTAAGAAGAAGATTCACAATGAGGCAACTGATGTTCAAGTGCTAAAGACATAGATCACAACCAGCATACACTCTCAATTAAACTAGTTATTAAATAATGAGCAAGAAATTATAAGGCTATGAAGAAGACATTAAAATAATAATAATAATAACCTAGAAAGACGACATTGCTTTTTCACAATAAATTTACCATGATTTATATGATAAATCAAGGTTCAATCGATAACTAAAATTAAATCAAAATAATATGAATGTCCCTCTCCAAGTAAGCACTAGATCAATGCCAGTCTTTAAAGCAATCTTCCTTCACCATTCCTATTGTGATCTATATCTTATGCTCCATTAAGAATAAAATATGCTACAGAAAAACAGAAAATAATGCAAACAACCAGGTGAAATTGACAAGAAAATCCAGCTATGACTGCATTAAATATGCCATTTGCAGCAAGCTTCATCAGAATAATATCATGCTCTTTTGTGAAATTCAGTTTTAGTGTCTATTCAGAACGTTGGTTGTTTATTGAGGACTTCTTTCAATGGTTACATTTTGAATAATATTAGCTCTTTTGTGAAATTCAGTTTTCACGTCTATTCAGAAAGTTGGTTGTTTATTGAGGACTTATTTCAATCGTAATTTTGCTTAACCTAATGCAGTTCTATTATTACTATCATATTTTGGTTGTTTATGCAACATATGAGAAAGCCAAATGTAGACCAACTCAACTTTTTCAATTTTACTTTCCAAATAAAAGTGTAATTACCAAAATAATTAAAATGCAGTAATGCAAAGACCGAAGTTCCAATGACAAAGCAACAAGGCGTGAACAAAGTAGGCAACCATGCAATGCTTTCAATCATGTAGAAATTGTACCATATGGACCAGAAAGATAAACTTTATGAAAATGCTTAATTCATAAAGTAAGCCAAGAAGCATATTGTAATTACCAGTCCAATTCCAATACCAAATAACAGGCGTCCAATCACCATAACAGGGAAACTGGGAGCGACTGCTGTTAGCAAAGATCCAACAAAATATACTATAGAGGCAAAAATGAGCTCCCGTCGCCTCCCTTCAATGATAAAACAGTTAAGCATAACAAAAACAAAGTATTTACTACATAAACAGGTTAATCCGGACTAACCTAAATAATCAGCAACAGTGAATGCCAAGGAAGAACCAATCAATGCCCCATACAAAGAACCACTGACCTGCACCATGTAGGCGCAGAAGATGAAATTATGTGCAAAACACCCAACAGGAAAATTGGGCTGCTGGAATAACATTATGTCAACTCACCACAAGTCCAATTTCCAAAGAGTTCAAATTGTACCATGTTGTTCCGCTCAAGGTAGCTGACTACAAAAAGAGAGTACTAGAAGCATAATATTGCAAGGTGAAATTCAGGAGCACAGTTTGAAATTTGACAATTTGAAAGATAAACAAGAAGGGTTAGAGATTGTAACTACTGACAGAAGATACGAAGTATCTTATAGTTTAGTTACTTTACTTGCTTTGACAATGATATATGGTTGTTCTGAGTTATTGGGAAAATATAAGTGATATAAGAGAATTTTACTACCTCTGAAATTATCTGGTTCTATGACTCTTAGGTCTGTTTTAACAGATTTGGTATTTTTCCTACTTGCATGCTATTGGAAATCAAAAGAGAAATCTTGTATTCTTATGAATAAGAGCAGAATTTAGAAGAAAAGAAGGCACTGAAGCGAGAAGCAGCATAACTTGTTAAAGGCTTCAAAGAAACACTACCGCTAGGCACTTTCGCTTTGTTTGATTTTAAGGAATTGAAAGAGATGAAATGAAAAATAAATGAAAATCAAAATGGTAACTTAAACAAAATTGGTTTTCATCCACTTGTTTGGTTGAGCAGAATATGACGACAACAACAACATCAAGCCTTTGTCCCACTATGTTGAGCAGAATATGAGTGAAAAAAAAATAATAATTGGCTTATGATAACTTTAGTTATTGCTTCTTGTAGTGAGCAAATATGTGAATACATTTTATAACCTATAAAATTTCTCGTTTTCACTATCGTTGAGTAGGGATTTGACAACGTAAAAACATATATTCACATTTTCAAGGTAAATCCAATTCCCTGGTAGTTGCATTAGAAACCAACATCTAAAATTAAAATTATGAGGGAAGTGTATATATATTCTGATGTGAAACATAATAGGAATTGCAGGAATTTAATAAAAATTTGTTAAGCTTGTTAATTTTAAAATTAATGTTTCACCCGATTAGATTCTAGGATTTCTTAGTTGTAGTTGTGCTTTGGCATGCGGTTACAAGAAAGATAAAATGGTCAATTTAAAATAACAACAAATTTATAGTAACGCTAACAGAGTAAACAACAAAAATCCACCGTTTAACAAATAGAGATTTCACCTTGAGTTCCCCTCGCTTTTGAGGTGGTTTTAATGGAAAATAATTTTAGCAAACTTAAATATGCCATCAAAAGACAGAAAACGTCTGTAATATTGCCCAACGAAAAGTTAGTCGGAGGGGAAGAAGTCGGTCTCGCGACTGTCCGAAGATTTGGTGCTCGTCGATGGCAGACGTCGAAGTAAAAAGGATCCGGCTGACGTAGTCGTCGATGGTGTCGTCGATCTCCAAGTTGAGGTTGAAGAAGGGTGATCGGAGATTATCTACTCGTCCTTGAAGATCATACACGAATCTGTGGTCTCTTTCAGATCGACCATCATGAGGAGGAGGCCGGTTTGTGTAGCTTCTTCCTTGGGAGTGTATGAAAAAATGGACATGAGAAAAAGAAGAGGAGGGGAAGGTTGGAGGGGTCAGCCAATACTAGGGGAGGAGGCCTCTTGAATTTTCAGCTTTTGGTTTAGATGGATGGGGGGGAATAAAATTAAAATCTGAATTTAATTTCAGATTTTATAATTGGAAAAGGAGGGAATAATTCGAAATTCAAATCTCCTTTAATGGGGGACTAAGTGGTGCGGTCAACCATGAAGAAAGAGTGTTGATTGAGAGCATTAATATAGAGAATTAATTAAGAGAGGGGGGGAGGGGGGCCGGCCAAAGAAGGGGGGGATGAGTGTCCACATTCAATATATGTGGATCTTTGCATTAATGATTGATTGGGGGAATTAAATTTGAATTAATTTCAGATTTGTGGTAATTGGGAACTTCCTAAAATATGATATTTTAATTAGGAAAGAATTCAAAATTCAAAATTCAAAATTCTTTGAATTCAAATTATAATACTTTCCAAATCAATAGCGAGCTAATTTAGGAAAGTAATGAATGTAGGGGAACAAAGGGTCGGCAGCTAGGGCTTATGAAAGATGGCTGAGGGCCGGCGGCTAGGGGTGGAGGAGGGAAAGGAGGCTTGGTCGGCAGCTTTTTGGGTGGAGTTTGGCCGGCAATAGTGGGGGATTAGGTCGACAGGTTGAATGGAGGGGAGTATTGGCCGGAGGTGGTGGGAGGAGGAGAGGAAGGAGGCTTGGCTGGCGTGGGTGGGGTTTGCCGGCAGTAGGTGAGAAGAAAGGGGTGGGGAAGAAGAAAGGGGAAGGGGAAACTAAGAGCCCGGACTCTTCTGACGGTTGTCGGGTATTTCTTTTACACCTCTCCTAGGGTTCTCTCTTCTCTCAAGAGCTCACAAAGAAACAAAGAACAAGAGCTGAAATTTCATTCATCAAAATCATCCTTATACAGTAGTGAGGGCCCTCATATATAGGCCTCCAAAATAAATAAAAACACAAAGACTAAAATGCCCTCGGGGCTACAACGTAAATTAATCCCTCTTGGGGTTACAATGGTAAACCATAATATAAATAAAAATAAAATACATAAATACATCATAAATAAAGACTCCGAATCGTAGCCGTCGATCTACGATTCCTCCGATGATAGATGCGCCGAAATCTTTTGTTGATGTCCTCATCACATTCCCTCCAATTCCTTCAAACCAAACACACCCTTATTTAATGCAAGACGGGTATTACTTGCAACTTTTTAATTTACATTTTGTTTACTCTTGACATACATCTTCATGATCAAGCTCGGGCATGCTTTTTATTGTACTTGAACTTCTTTGATAATTTGCATAATAAGAAATTAAACATGGTTCAAAGGATGATCATTCCATTTTAAATATGAACTCCCAACATTTCAATATTACTTGTCAAAAACTAAAAACAAGAAAGTACATTCATGTTCACAACAAAGCAACTATATTTTTAAGTTTATATCCATATCATATTCAGATTAATATTTGATCCAACAACACTATAATGCCAGTCTCTCCATTCCACCGCATGTCAAAACCACAAGTCATTCACATAGACTATCTTGAGTTCAATATAATCAACAATTGAATTCTGTATGAGATGATTCATGAAAAAGAGCATAAACTAATAAAAGCATTGTCCTAAAGGCAATATAACGCAATTTTCATTAATGATTATCCAGCACTTTTCTTTACATTTCAAGCAGAAAAAAATTATCTCCCACTTTCTGGCATTTTAAACGATTGTGTTGAGAGTGTGATTCAATTGATTAGGAAGACTCTATTTATTTAAAAAAGTTTCCTAAATTATGTTTATACTGATTAGGAATGTTCTAATTGTGTTGTTGTGTTCTATGGCTATTTAAGTGGGAGTTTGTCTATGGTTTAGGGTATGCTAGTTCTTTTCTTTGAGGGCTTCTTAACAGGATCTAGATTGATTGGGAGAGTCCATCTACCTTTCTAATTATAGATCACATGTATCTTGTCTTTTCCTTCATATGTAATCCAATAAAAAGTGTTCTTGAGTGTTCTTCTTCATCGTCTACTTGTTACCAATTTTTGTTTTGCTGAATTGAATATTCAACTAGGGTTTTCTTCAAGTTCTGCATCTACTTCACATCAATTACCTATACTCTTCCCTATTAAGTTCAACACTAAGCCTTATATTACATATAAAATGTATATAACTACCCTGGTATGAGAACATGAATCTAAACTTTTTTATCATAACAAACTCATGCTGAATTTGATTAGAAGTCTTCGTAGTCTGGAGTTCGATTTTCCTGAAATGTTAGTACACACAAGAGAAAATACAAATCTTCTAAAATTGTTAGGAGATTACTACACATTTAAACAATAATGTTTGAAATCATCAAAACTATACAAGTTGTAAAAATGTAAAGCATGCAAATAGTAACTATCTTAACATAAACAACTCCGTTACAGTTGTTTAAATTGTTTGACAAAACAACTCCTTACTTTTTGATACACCTATGTTAAAATAGCTTTTTGAATTTTGGTATCGTAGATGTTATCAATAATTTCCTAACACCATATGTGGTGATTCGGTACAACAGTTAGATTTTGTATTTCGATACAACAGTTAGATTTATCCTAACTGGAGCATGAAGCATGAAACATATCAACTCGAGCTAGTTAATTTCCTATCTATTTCCTATTTGACAAAAAATACCATGAAGCATATAAACTATAGCATGAAACTTTTACTCAGCTATCAGTTTAATACAAGCAGTTCGACACAACTTTTATTCAACAAATAATAAATTTCAGTTATTTATACAAAATATAAGTAAAAAATTGCTTGTGTTAAACTAAGGAGATCATTCATTCAGCAACCAACTTTTATTCAGCAAACTGCTTGTGTTACTCAGCTGTCGGTTTAACACCCAAGAACCATATAAATTTTGGATCTTTCATTCACTAGTAAAAAACTTACAAAATTGTGCAATAGAGTTCATTAAAACATATTACAAGTCCACAACAACCATACATATTTCAACATTCATAATGAGATTTAGTCTCCACAGGACTTCTACATCATTTAGACTAGTTCAACACGACACATTAAACTAAATAAATACAGATAGCTATGTCAACAAGATGAACACCAACAAAGACTTTCATCAACAAGATGATCAAGTCAAGCTTCTTAGACATCCTAGCTTCAAATCCTTCAACTTTAGTAGGTGTACCATAAGATGTCTCTTCTAAGTAATCTGTCCATTTAAAGTACCTACAATCGTCTTCCGTTTGATTATTCATGCATCTTAAAAATTGCCTTCCAGATATGGGTCCATGGTAGCATGTGCATAACGTACACTTAAGGTGGCAGTAGTAGTAAACTTGAGAACGTGGGCGTCTATATTTCATAGAAAGAATTTGTTGAACTCATTTGAAACAAGCACAATCTGTGAAGAAATTTGCAATAAACTAAATAAAGGATCCAAACTTAAAGAAATTATTTTTATTTGAAGGCAACATTGGAATAACCTGTTCTGACATAAATTAAATAAAGAAATCTAAAAATGAGAAGATCTAACCTAATCTAGCAAAAATATGAAAACTACAGCTTCTATAAATCT